TAACCAAACTGTTCTATGAGCACACCACATTTCAGAGACTTTCTATCAAAGTAATCCGTTTTACAAATGAATATGGACTTACAGAGCTGGATACCAATGTTATGAACACATCTCCGAGCTTCTCAAAACATAGTCGCACCGTTTCATAGAAGACTCTCTGAAAAATGAATCACAGTGAAAAAGAGAATATGCAAGACACTCAAAAAGGCTTGACTACTCTATAAATTCGCTTAAAGGCACAGGTCAGGACAATTTTGGGGGTATCCGGTATTTCAGAGATAGTGGTAGGTAAGGCCTATACTAGGACAATGGTAAAGCCTAAAACGCTAAAAACAGCAAGAAAAAGGAAAACAAACGGCCGAAAAAAAAGAGGAAAGAGTGGTAGGACGAGTTTCATAACGGGGAAACGGTGGTTAAGTGAAATTTTGCGGAAGTACAGGAATTTGACGCCATGTGTGCAATGGCACACAAAACACCCAAACAGCTGATTTAGACTACATACTTGAAACTATTTATTCCCCTACTGATATTTCGCTGAACTTTTATGTTTATTCAGTTGTTCTGCACAGAAAGGTGAGTAAATTCGCTTATATTGATCATTTTACGATTAAATGTACCTAAGTTTTCATATAGTACGTTGTTTTATAAAGTGCATGCTAGGATTTAAATTTTTTTTTATTTGCAAGGCATTTTCTTCATTTGGGGTCATTTATGTGTTCTTGTACAATGTCAAGAACGCTCTTTGACTTTTATTTGAAGATTTATGCTCAGTTGAAGCCAATCAGTTGAAATGCAGCCGAATATTAGTACCAGAAGGGGGCGGTCGACCAGCTGACAATTCCTGGCAATTTGCCAATCAGCGTATCGATTTTCCACCAACTTCGCTCCAATGCGAAAGTGGTGAAAGAAAATTCGAACGCGTAGTCAGCCTAGCGAGGGGCGGAGCCCTGACGTCCCCCAATGTTCCTGCCCTAATTGTGCCCTATTCTAACGATTTTCGACCTCATTCCTGCACAAATGGTATCAGAGGGGGCTTCGAATTCAAACTATATGCAAATCTCCGGAACCACCTTTTCCTGACCTGTGCCTTTAAGCCGTAAAAAAAGTTAGCGAATAAGTTTCAGCATAGTGATGAGCATCTATGATCACCGTAGCAAAGCTCTGCACCATCACCATTCATTCTGGCTGACCCTACTCTGGATGAAAAGAAACTCGATCAATTGAGGTTTTAATCAACTAACAGCGGTTTGGTTTTCTTTTATGGGTCTGTCCTGATCAAATAGATCAAAAATGAAACTTCAGCACCTGTTCATTGATGACGTACTTCGGTACTTCCACATCAGCACCGACGCGAGAAACGCAGGCGTTGAACGCCTCAACTGCGAATCTGATATCTTCTTCACGAATGCGCCGTTTCTGGATTCATTCTCCTATTTAATCAAATTTGTGGATCCACAAAAGAAGCTCATGTTATCATACTTGGTCTTCCGGATCGAGCACCGTCTGTAAATGATCTAGCATCCGACCGTCAAATATGAACCGTCCACTGCTGTCCTTTTTAGCCATGGGCACATGCTGCGTTGCAGTACCAGCTGAAAACACCCAGAGCTGCCGACTCGCGTAATACACAGAGAATCTGAAAAAGGCTCACCTTGTTGCTCTGCATCAAGCAAATTCTCGTCGCCATCTTCTTCGTCATTCTTCTCGTCGTCCTCAATTTCATCTTCCTCATCATCAGAGTCATGAAATTCAAGAAGGTCTGCATCTTGTTCTTGGAGGAATTTGTAGAATTCTGGATCGCTTTCTTTCAGCCTTAAGAAACGAGGTTCTATTTTTCCAGAAATGAGGCATTAACCTGATGCAACTTCATTCTCGATGTGGAACAAAATCACTTTTGTAAATCCATTAGATGCTTCGTGCTGGCTTTCTTACTTCCAACCGCCTTCACAACATTGTCTTCATCTGAAGCTGAAAATAGAACGCAAATCGCAATATAATCATTCAGAAGACAATTCTCGAAGAATGGCTCGAAGTCTCAACAACTATGACTTACCCATCTCATCGTGATCGCCCACAACCTCAGCATTTCCGTTATCCTCTACATGATGAACCGACGCCTAAAATTACTAATATGAATTGAAAATGGCTAAGAGAACACCTTCCATTCCTGCCCGTTTAATTGGCTTGTCCTGTAGGGTCAGGTTCATTGCACATGTTGTACTAGGGATGAAGTCCCTTGAGCTGTCACCGAACACTTGCTACCAGGAAACACGGTCAGGAATTGGCGCAGTAGGGAATAAGCATCAGCTGACTTCACCAAACAGTGAGTGTTTGGATGAGGGGGGGGGGTGACATCTAAACTCAGCGACCGTTGAGCCCTTAATGCGCAGTTTTTCATCCAAGACAACGTCACATCAATGAGGGACCTCAAGCTTTTTTGTGTAAGGCGCGAACCCAGATAGCGGCTCAGGGAGTAAATGGCGAGCCAAAAGTCGCCGGCATATGCCCAGAGACGCAAGTAGATTCAGGGCATGGACTCCTTATTTCTGCTGTACCGGGTCGATTTATAGATTCTGTATCCCTACGTTTTGTTTCCTTGTAGGTGCGTCTAAGGGAAATCTGTGCGTGCATTGGAATCCTCCACATTGGTCCAGCCAAAAGCTGGCATTCGAGTGACTGGAAGTCACAAGAGAGCGATTCAAGTCGCCTCCAAAAAATGAGCCTTTTGTCCACATTGGGACAGAATGGCTTGCCACTCGGAGTCAAGTCAGTTAGCTAGCTTGCCAGCTGAGAGGCTGGCAAGCTATTCGTAGTTACCCATATGCCAGAAACAGTAATAAAAGTGGGTTTCATTGCCCTGTACCTGAGAGAGCCCTTCAATATGACAGCGTTGGGCAAGACCGCTCGGGGGAGGCAACTAATATTCAGGGCTAAATCTGCCCAAAGAGAAGGACCAAACGGCGATATGTACACACAATGCAGGAACGCCCGCAACGGAAGCGTGTATCGAATATGTTATGATGTAAGTGAGAAAGATCGTTATCGGCTTGAAGGAGACGAGAAGGCATCGCCTTAGCACACGTTTTTTAGACTGGAGTAGTATTCTTTAGAATATGCGGGAGCAAAGGTACCGACGGTGTAAGTGTCCCCGTCAATACGCACCTGGCCATGAGCATCTGTTATATGAAATCCTGAGAATCTAAGTAGGATTGCGATCAAGAAGACGTGGCTCAACCCCAGCTCTAACAATCTTCGGTCGTCCATGCACCGATGTTAAGCAATGGAAAAGAGGAATTGGAAGCCTTTTATATGGACTTGAAGAGGCTCTACAGAAAGACCATACTCTTCAAGGTCATCGTCGGTTATTTCAACGCCAATTTCGGTCCCCAAAAGGACGACTAAAGAGCTACATATCGGAACCCACGGAACCCAATGGAATGAGCGAGGTGAAAGACTGCCAAAGTTTATCATGTCGCCAGCCCTATCCATGGTAATTCTAAACTTCCAAGCCAGACTAGTTCTACGGCCTGGCGGATATCTATTCGTGATTCGATCTCGGGCCATGCTTATGCGATCGTGCGCCTACTGCCGCTACGACGTCAAACGTATAACGAAAACGTAAAGATCGCAATACTCCACATAATATTTAGCGACGAAGAGGTAAGTTGCCCATTCGAGCTCATGTTTTGTTCCAAGCCCAAAAACTATCAATGTTCGAATTTGAAGGCCCAGTTCACGACAATTCCCTGTTGCTGGCTGGCGGGGCCTTCCCGCCCCTCGATCGATGTCACGTCAGGCGAGTGTCGAGGCGATACAGATTGCAACTATCGTTCTAGGACCCACACACAACCAGCTGATCGCCGAGTGAAGAGATGATGTTTTCTCCAACTCTTTTTCCTCTAGTATTCTTTTTGCTGCCGCGATCCCTTATTTAATTTCCTACCCCGAGAGGCTGAAAAAGGTGAGCTGTTTTTGCCGTTACTAGGGCTTTTTTGCTTACTTATGCTTACAAGTGGATGAATTTTTGCTTACCGTAGTCAATTATTTCCACCAGGACCCCACACGTACGTATTGACCCGCATTGTATAGCTCATCCAGGCGCACTACTCTTCTTCATTCTTCTGGTCTCATTCTCGTCCAGCCCTTTTTTAACGTTTTTTCGAAGCCTTTTCTCACTTTGGAAACACCGATCCACGCAGTTCCTTCGCCTCCGTCGCCCTATTTTCCATCTTATCTTACATTTTTCGTCATAATCTGGATTACCCAAAATTATCGTGAACTGTACCTTTAAAAGGTGCATCTGAATGTAGGAAAACCTTTTGAAATTATTGTTCTAATTTATCAAGACCACTGCGTTACGGTAACAAAAGGTCGATTCACCGTTTATCTCTGTCTGGAGAACGAGAGGTCTTAGGATGCACCATCACCTGAATCATTGGATTTTCACAAAATTCAGTGTCCCCCAGCATCCGATAAGGTTTCTTCGGAATTCAATCACTGTTACACACTAACTTTTTACTACTGAATTTTTTCGATCTTTTTGGAAACAATTGTTATGCAATCACCTCATCACGCGTCGATTTCGACTTTTTCTTCCCCAATTTCTTCACTTTCTTTTTCAAGGAGCCTTTCTTCAAGGAAAACCTGTCCGACCTTGCCTTTTTCACCGACACCATGCCTGGAACAAAAAAAGAATTTTACAATTAGAACCTACACGAACAGGAAAACATCGCTCATTTCGACAAAGACGCAAAAAGTCGGAGAACCGGAATTCATGGGACGATGACCTTTTTTACAACCAGGATAATTTTGTCAAAAATCTTAACTCGATTACTTCTCTTCCCTAATTTGCATTTTGGCTCTACACTTCTCGCACTTCACTCCAACCTTTTCAATTGAGCCCGGATAACGAGCCCTTGTTTTGGGATAAGATTGTAGGGGTTCAAGAAACTGTCCTTGACGCAGCTGAAAAAGTTACCTTGAAAATCAAACCATTTTCACAGAATACAGAGAGGAACGAGATGTTAACGGAGGTGACCTACATTGTGAATGCGATCGACGAACTTAAGCGATACAGCGTGGGAACAACAGAGACAGGAGGAACTTCGAAAGGGGGATAATGGTTTGAAAGTGAAACGTTCGACGAACATCACACGAGAAGACGGCAAGAGGCTCTGAGAACTGAATTAGCTAGATGTTCTTCACGCTTAGCTATACCACTCATCTGATTATTTCCCTTCTGCTACACGTGGCCGGTATAGGAATGGGAATTTTTGTCTGGCATTTGTTCCCGAAAAATGTGAGTTTTACGCAATTTCCTTGACAAAAATAGCATGGGTCTTGTGTTTGGTACATGACGCAAGCTTCACTTATGCCAAAGCTAGCGATTCCAGGATTTTAACGAGACAAACTAAGACACGAATTTTCATGGTTTTAGCATAGATCTTACCACTTTCCTTCTTCTTACTAATCTCAATTACCAGGGTCTTGTTATATAAACTTGTTTACTACAAGCTACCACGAACCATATGTGCAGTATTCTAGAAAGATACGTTACTCCTGAGACTCAAGTCCCCTTGTTCACCTTTATTTTCATTATTCACTTGCATGAGCTCCTCCCTCGGGTAATTTCCGTTAAACTGGCCGATTAGCTGATCTAACTATAGAGTGGTTACAATTTGGTATAAATCGTAGGCTCTCCCATCAATCCTCTAGTTGTCAGTTTTCCATTACCGAATATGCTAATAGATTAGGTTTTATACTCCCTCAATATTCCTCGACTAATTCCTTCAATGGCCTTGAGGTATATCGGAGGAGCAGCTTCAACCACTTCTCTTGCATACTTTTCTTCGAGCTCCTGTGACCCCTAAACGAGTACCCTGCGGCTCTTTATGGGAGGCACTACTTCAAGGAAATAGAGGCAGGTCGTCCCGGACGGCACGCAGACATTCTCAGCTGAAATTGTGTGGCGATTTGTTGGGCCTGTTTGAATGTTTTTTTTGACTGCGCAACATTCCATGTGGTTACGATTTAGGTAATGATATATTATCACCTGTCGTCCCGTTGATCACTGATTTCATCGAGCGGGTTCAATAACGCCTCCATTCATCCCTGTCGCGAGCCGGAACGTGTTCGTTCGAAGGGCACGATACGTAGCCTTTCCTTCGTCAGAACTTCCGTAAAGAGGCCTGACCATTACGCTGGCCGGCTTTCTTGGTGTTCTTTTCACTTTTCCAGCAATTCAGTCAGTAAGCGCCCCGGTACAATGGTCATCCCTTTATCACATAGCGTATCCGACCACCTGATATTACCTTCCTAGCCGTAAGCAACGCCATCCTTGGTCTTTGGTCAGTTCGTAGACGAATCTCGGAACTCCGGATTCCCTCGTGCACTTGCATGTATAGGGCAATTCCGAGCATAGTCCTTTCCACAGCGCGTTGAATGATGCCTACTGCCATGCTCCTTCTGCTCTCGGAAGGTCGAAATCTCCTAGGCGAACGTCAAAGCAGGAAGGGCCGACCTATCAAAAAGGTGAGCGCGGAACTAAACGTTCTTTGTCTTGTTCACTACCCCTCGATATTCTGATATACTTCCCAAGTAGCGCGTGCCGTTCTCCTCACCTCCGGAGCTAGGTCGTTCGTCATGTTGACTACTGGGCCTCAATGCACGTAGCTAGAACGTTTAGGATGACGATTTTAGAGACAATGATGACGTAGCATACCATCGCAAATTCAGGTAGTAACAGTTAGGAGTAAGCTCAAAAGGTCGAAAATGATGTTACTGATAACGCTTGATGACCAATACGTAGTTGTTTTCTTCGCCATTGCGATTCCGATCGATAGCGATCAACTTTGATATGTGGTGTGATTGAACACACTGTCCAAGAAATTGGTACTCAGATATATTTTGCATGGGGCGGAACATTCACCCGGAACTGGAGGGACGCGGCAAACCGCGCGGCGAAATTCGTGGTGAGATAAGATAATAGTGGTAGCGCTCATATAGCATAGATCATAACATAGGAGTACACTTTGTCATAGCAATTTCGACCAATCAAATGAATAATTATTTATCATTGTAAGCTCGTTGGTGCCATTCGTGACAGGAGCGGCAGAGCTTTCCAATATCAGGAAGAGATTAAAATTGGTAGGGAGCATTACAAGATAGACACCTCTAAGCTTGGCTTGCCCTTCGCTATAATGGTGGAGTGCTCATGGCAAACGGTAAAAGTGGTGGGATGGTGATATTGGTGAAAAATGACACTGGAGTTTAAATGGTGAAGGATGACTAGAGTCACAGTCTCTACATTTGTCTGCCAAAATATGTGTACTCCCGATGTTTTGACGAATGACTACTCCTACCTATTACCTAGAAAGCTTAGCCTTCTAGGTGATAGGTAGGAGCCTAGCTTAGCGTATGTGGGTGTATATGTGGACAGCTGCAAGCATGCAGCATGATCGCAGATGGAGGGAGACAGCAAAAGTACTAACGAACACTAAGAAACTATAAAATGTGCCACATGGAGAGAGCAGTAGTTTAACTTCACCTTCCGCTATCCCGAAGAGGTCTCGTTTTTAGTGAATCCCGAATATTGCAAATCTAACATATAATGTATGTAAGCCTCTTTATGGCAAGGCCGAAAGCCTGGCCAGCGCTGGCATACCTCCGCCCGGGTAAAAAAGGAGGTGGTGAATAGCCGATTGGTTATACGTACTATCCAGCGGCATTGACTGATTGATATCGATGTGCTATTACAATGATTTCCTCACTAGACTCATCCTACAGCCCAAAAAACCCAAAGCTACTTACTTATTCGGACTTTTTGACACCTGAGCATCTTACACAATAGCTCACCCTGCTTTACAGTACAGGGTCGTTATGATAGGAACGCCTCATTTGGTCGACGTTTCAACCAACTCATCGCCGTCAGGGAATTGGAAGTAGTTCGGATCTCCTGAACTTGGCGAACCTGGCGCACTAAACCAATTGCATCAACTGCGTACCACATATAAGAAATTAATATCTCTTATTGATACCTTATTGAGAAGCGAGCCTTGAAGGGTAGAGGTCGTAACTAAACAGTAAGGGGTACCGGTTATCACTTCTATTCTCCTTAAATGGTACCGATTTTAACAGGATCACCGCACCTACCATTAACTATCAATTTACACTACCATAAAGTACTAGGTTTATAAAACATATAAAAGTGCCAAAGCAACATCACCATCGTGAAGAGGTTAAGAACATAGCGACCCATGCCTTCTTCTGAGAACTCTTATCTGTTTTTATCAACTATTATCACTTTCTATCATCTGCTATCCCAGTTACACCCTATACTCACTGGATAGCAAGATCTCACTGTTATACGGAAAGATGAAGTAACTTTAGCACTTTAATCTTAATCTATCCCGATTCCTCTAATTGGTAAGATGAAGAACGACGCTACAGATCCAGCGAACATACCTATTTTTAGTCCTTTGTCAGCTCTTATCAGTTAGTCGCAATTCCGCTAACCCTTTTTGATACCGTAACATCCCACATCACCTACCAATTTGTCAAAACTACACTGTTAACAGGGAAGGCGTAACGGACGTTATGGTTCTTGCCCCCGAAGCCCTTTCCCAGACCCTCAGTATCACTACTTTCAAATTGGCGTTCCCATCCTGCTGCCTGTATCCCCTCCAACTTTGAATGATCAGGTCCAGGGGAATAGAATATATGAAATTCCTGTCAATATACGTTTACACAACACAAAAATTAACTCACACACACACCTACACACATAGACACACTTACCTGTTTATACACAAACACTGTAACACACACCGATCTATACACCGTCATATCTACCGACACACACACAGAAAACAGCGAATTTCATACAGTAGGATGTGTGTATATGATAGATTTCATGGAAAATGATTACCGTCCTCTGAAACAGTTGAAGCACGTGTAATTATATACCTAATGATGGATAGAAGAAAAGTAAGTTTGAAGGGAAGAAGCAGTACAGGATCCACACCTTACCCGACTTGCTTACCCAAAGCTTCTGTAGACCAACAACCTCTCAAATTAGTCACTAATTGTAACTGTTTCAGCCAGTTCGCTTTATCACCAAGCTGCCGAATGAAATATCGCTTATTGTCGAGAATGTAAATGAGGAAACACTCATCTTGAACCCAAAAGCAAAAGGTGGAGAGCAGACGGCACTTCAAATTCAACGACATAACGGATGAGACGTTGAAATGGTTTAACAAAATCTTCACAGTGCCTGACAAACTAATAAACATTTGAAAGCTCCCTTCCATATTTAAATGAGTTGGTAAAACTAAAAAAACCCTGTGGTACGGGTATATGTTGGAGAGTGAAGCAACGGAAAGCAGTGAAGCAGTGAAAGTAAGAAACCGGATGGCCTTAGCAAAGCTCTCTAGTTCCAAGCTCAATTTGCCTACGATGGCAAAACCTCGTGATGAACGAATTATTCCTCTACTGCACTACTTATTTGAGATCAGAAAGACGTGAAATTGAAAATAACCAGTTATTCATTGTAAGAAGGCCTCAACTACCTGAAAGCGAAAGTACTAAATTTCGATCTAACAAATATTAAACGGAACTGACGAGGTTTGATAACCCCCCCCCCCCCCCCCCCAACAAATTGAGTGGGATCTAAAACAGTAGAAAATCGCTCTCCCAGGACTATCTTACCCATTAACAGCGTAGACTCACCAAAAACTGATGACGTTGAATAGCTTCTACCCTAATCAGTAGGTGCACAGTCCCTTCTTGGAAATCGTCTAATTCAGCCAAGTTCTGGTCAGAAACAAAATCCACATATATTTTTAATCACTAAATTCTTCTATCCAAAAGCTCACTGCCTTTTCGTTTTGTGCCAATGACGAACATACCACGACGAAAAATCAGTTGCACAGAGAGATAATGGCGATAATGGTAACTTCGGAGCAAAATTGCTACGATAGTTATGACACATCGGATCAAATAGTGTTAGCTTGCAAATTTGAAGTATAAAAAGTCGACAAGACCGGGCACTTTTAAATGAAGTGACGTAATTGTAAGAATCTTTGTTTAAATTACACATGAATCAACCACATTTCTCACAAACTAAACAAACAACACAAAAGTAATGGGTAATTAAACAAACCAAGATAATAACATTACATCAGACTCTACCCGAAATCTAAATAAACAGCTCAAATATAACAGATTAACTAAACAATATATTATAGCACTTCGAGGCAGCAAAAAGAGTGTTGGAGCTCGAAACAATGACGCTCAGAATTGGTTCTGTTCAAAAGGATAGCTACCCTCTGCATGACATAAATACAATCAACGGAGTCACAGGTAACAACAACTAGCCAACACCCGCCAGTTTAAGAAGTTCCTCCATGCCGACAGGACGCCATGAAAACGAATGCGTATCTAAGACGTACACAATGTTCCGATCCAAATAAATAGACTGAGTTCCAAACCAGTACACCTAAAATATCGCATTACCGCTTAACCTTCGAGGAAGAGAAAAGAGGCTTCAACTCATGAGTCACAGTCATGACTTGTAGCGCAACTTGATGGTGAAAACGAATAGCACTTTTTCCCGTTTAGTTCTTTAAGCCCGTGCCGAATTGGCTGTTTTTCTGGCTGAGAAATATCGCTATTCAGAATTAAACACTTGCTTAGCTTGAACTATCAATCGTTAAACAAATAGTTAATTAAATAGTGTACATCACGAAATCGAACTAACCAATCGCCAGAGGAATGATATACTGATACTGCTATAAATTTTCGTAATAGCAACATAAACCCAAAAAATAGCGCTTCGTCCACAAATTATGAGGATGAGAGAAAAAACATCGGCAAAGATGAAAGTCCACCCTCACCTGCCTTCCTTCCTTGAGGCGATCACGTTGAGGAATGTGAGTGAGATCGTGTTGAGCGGCAATCCGCTCGAGCATTTCCTTCAAAGACATGTGAGCTGACGATATTGGCATTCCCATATTTGGCCTTAAAAATCTTATAGTTAAAACAATTCAATCATCCGAAAATCAGTAAGTAGCGCTTTTCCCTAACAACGAATTGATCTAATCACAAGCACTAAAAATTTCAAGGGAATTCCCAAATTATGTTTGTAGCTTTGTGATTAAATCGCAAGAAACTGTAACATATACTGTTTATGTTGCGACCTTCGCATTAACTTATAATTAGGAATCGAACAGAAGGATTTCCGTCCGAACATAAATCCTTATAAAAAAAAAGAAGCGAACTCCTGAGATTCAATGACTTTATTTATGATATCAAATTCATTGTAAGAAATTAAGAAATCAGCGAAAATTCGAAGTTTTGCATTTATCAAAGCAGAGCCAACATTGAAAACTGATTGGTAAGCAAAACGGTACCGTAAAGCAGATGGTGGTGGAGGAGGAGGAGCTGCTTGAGCAATCGGCGGTGGCGGAGGCCCATTGTATACTCTTAGACCTTGTGATGATTCCATCACTGCAACCATGCCTCGGCGGAGGTTCTCTGAAAAATGGAGGAGTAATGCAACGAATAGCGAAATGATTAACGAGTTCATGCCTGCGATTCAAGCGAAAAACCTCAGCCTTACTTCTATTTGGTGTTTCAATTCACTAGGCGTAGGCAGTGTTGGCTATGCACATGAAGGAACAGCGACAAACCCATGATGCAGGAAAAGAAGTTATCCGAGTCAAAGAATAATTGGTGGAAGTAAAAGTAGGAAGTAAGAAAGTAATTAGAGCGCGGCCCAGTTATCGAAGCTGCCATTCTCATAAAATTGTGAAAATGGAAGCGAATACGGATGAATAGTCTATAAGATGACCGCGGCTCGTGATTACCATCCTGCTAGTATTAAATTCGCTGTGTTTTTGTTATTGCATGAACAACTGACAGTGGATGATAGTAAATGGTAAGAGCTGGAAACAGCCAATAAGGCGCCCGACAGGCGAGAAACACTGACCGCGTTACCCCATTAGTGCTATTAGTAGAACCTCGACAATGTTAGGAAGATAGGAGGTGAAAACGAAGATGGCTAGTGAAAGGGACCAAAGCAGCCGACAACGGCGGATTAGTGCTGTAGAAGGCAAGAACCACTGGGCTTGTTGCGCCTTTCGTGTTGACAGTGGAACTTCGATGAGTGGCAAGGAGTCGTTAATGGTGACATGGTAGTAAACAAAAACTGAATAGTAGTTGATGAAAGGAGGAAAGGTTTGTTTTTTGGTATTAATAAATCTTGCTTTCGGGATGTTCCTCCGCATTCGACTGCCATTCAAGACCTTAGTATGTTTGGATGCACATATGGCTTACTCAATGACCTGCAGTGGCCAGTCCATGTCAATGTCATTCCTTTTACCCTCTTAGAGAGAATGGTACCGACCGCCTGACCGATCCCGCAGGGATAGAAGGCTGAGGTAGCCTGAGCGAGTATCAATACGCGATTCGACCATGGATGAAACAGTGCACCACTTGGCGGGGAGCCTGGCACCAATCCCCGATCTGATTGGTACATGAGTAAGTCATTTGTTGAAGATTAAGTTTCGCAATACATGCTATCGGTGTTGCCGGACGTTTCACTCACGTTAATACAAACGCTCAAAAAGTAGCGTGAAACGAAAATACGATTTTTTGATCACTGTGATTTGAAGGTTCCTTCTATATTAAGCATATCTATGCCGAATATTCCAAACAAAGTACCTTTAATTGTTGGAAAATCACGTATTTGGGGTGGAATTCGCCCATCCCACTCTCGATACCACATCTTCACTTCGTCTAGAATAGCCCGCGGTGAGTCGAGCCATTGGCAGAGCGCCGAATACCACTGAAAAAAAGATTTTGCAGAATCAGCAGAATACTTATTTACAGTTATAACCGTCGATTTCGAGCGGGACTTGAAAAATCCTGCCTGCGAGTGTCTACGCTCAAGAGCTGTGCAAGGCACGTGGTGAGCATTAGCCAGCTGGACTTCACCCTGGTCCGGTCCACAGGTACACAGCGATTTAGGGCTGCACACCGAAGGAGCATTTGGGACATTTGACCATCAGGGAATACCGCGACTCTCTTCTAAGTACCCCGTCAAATATCTTTTTCCAACTTCATTTAACTTACAGGGCAAGTTATGAACTTCCCAAAAATGCATGGGAGAAATTATGGGAACAGGATTAAAAATACTGCGAGAGGCGATATCGCCTTTTTTCATTTGATCGCAGTATTTTTAATCCTGTTCCCACAATTTCTCCTATGCTCAGTGGGACAACACTGAGGACATTGTCCTCCACACTTTTCCTCCGGGTGCGCTTCGTCGCAGCCGTCGCATGCGGCGGGTCAACACGCGATACTTGACAGACGTCGCAGTTGTCAGCGGGGCACACGATTTGCGCTTGGTCCACGGCAGTCAGCCAGAGAGAAGATAACACCAACAAATGTAAATCGTTCGCTCCACTGACACTTGGTGGTTTTGTAATGCCAGAGACCTCAACGGGGTGCGCCGCGCGCGAAGTGGGCGAGGCGACCTACTTTTGAGGGACGCGCGCAACAGACGTTCTTCCTGTTCCTCCACCTTACCCTCCTCTCCCAAGGGGAGTAAGGTGGAGGAACAATGTGGAGGACAATGTCTTCAGTGCTGTCCCATTGTCCTGTCTGAAAAGTCGGAGCATTCAAGGACATCCCGTTGAATGCGCTTACGATTTTCTACTGCATCTTTAAAGGCACAGTTCACGATAATTTTGAGGTGCCCGTTTTTATTCAAAAAGCGGAAGTATGGATTGGGAATAATTCATCAGCAGTGAAGAAAGCGAGTGAAATAGCCGTTTCCGAGAAAAATATGGCTCCTCCAAAGTACGGAAAGTAGGGGTTGGACGAGACTGCCATGATGGAAATAAAATGGAAGGGTATTCGGACGAAATTTAGTTATTGCAATTTCACAAAGAGCTGACTACATCAAGCCAGAACTGTACAGAATTGTCTTTCACTGTCGCTATGGATCGTGTCAAGTTTATTGAACTCCCCACATGGGTTCTTTTTGAATGATGCGGCCTCTCCAGTGCCGGTGAAACTCGTCCGAGGATACACACGGGCCAATATTTGAGCCTTTACAACTCACTAACTTGGTCGTTTTCCGACCTTATATTGCCAGATATGGTATACGAGGGGGCCTCAAATTTATCCTGTGAAGGAATCTCAGAAACCATTTTCATCGTGAACTGTGCCTTTAATGGTCATTAATACCAAAACGAGTTGCTATTTTTCAGAAACCATTTCTGCCTCGTTCTCGCTGCACAATTCCTTTTTTGAGAAAGACTCACTCTAGGAAAGAAGTACTTCGTGACGATACTGGCCATCGTATCGGCTGAGATCATTCCAATCCATGACATACAAGAATACCATTCCTCATATTTTTTATTTTCCCTAGGATTCAAGTTCATCGTGTCGAGGCATTTCTCTAGCTGAAAAGTATAGCATTATAAGGTAGTTGAATCTTCTATTCATATTATTACGATTACGTATATTTACTTATTCAAAAAATACTAATAAACTCATGTAAAATAAAATAAACAGCTCACCTTAGGTACAACATTTTGCGCCAAGAATGCTGACATTGTTGCTGGTGTCCAAACACCACACCAGGGTTTCAGAATAGCCATTGCGCTAAAATAACTAATTTACTTGGAAGTTCAACGAATAAGAGGCTTTTTTATTGAAAGAACTCCCAACATTTTTTTAACGTAAAAAAGACAAGATATCATTCAGTAATGACTATAGTGCACCCCAGCACGAGAAGATATTCGTCTGTCACTTTCTAAATTATTATCCGGGCACAATCATTGAGCAGAATAGCCCAGGAGGTAATGGACTCAATTGTGTGTAATATCAAAATGGGGAAAATCGCTAAGATTCCAAGAGTTTCAGCTCTGTGAAGTTTCAAAAAGAAGCAGGCCATCAGTCTTCAATGGCTCTAATATAGCCTTTTGAAAAATTCCACTTTTATACACTTGTTTTCCCAGAATAGTGTGAGTGACGAGCCTTCAAATTCGAAAGACCCATTTCCACTTAGTTCTTGCGAAAACTCTCAACATCAACTTTGATAACGACAGTTCCTCAGCAATTGTTTCAGTTGGTTTCTTCCCCCTGCCTTCGTTTCTATGTCTTACGTGTTTTCCCAATCGATATGAATTTATGTCATCTTGCTTATTGCCTATGCCCTGTCTTTGGTTACAAACCACGGGGTCATTTCACATGTGGGAGTGCACACTGCAAGGACAAGATTTGAATTGCCAGTGAATGGCCACGGTTACTGCCGTGAGGTACCAGCGACCGCTGTGCTCCGGGAAACGAATGCTCTGGGAAACGTGTCCGCCATAGGGTGCTCTCAGAGCTTAACAACGTGCATTTTTTCTACCGATCGACCGAAGGCACTACTGGCCACGTGATGAGACTGCTGGACGACGATCGGCACCGCTTCCCGGCACTACGCAATCTGTCCGTCGTTATCAACATGTGGCCAGCAACGCCACTGGGCGGTTGATCGCATGTCGTTAAGCTCTGAAAGCATCCATTCACTAATATGACCTTGTTGCCTAACACTCGTCAATTCTAAGGTGGAGGGCCTTGAGATAAGTAGTAAATATGGCCTGTCAGAGGTGATGGATAAGTAGCAACCGGGAATCTGGCACGAGATTTGACATGTGTTCCCCAACCCTCTTGCCGAGTGATGTTATCTTTGACATATCTATTTCATCTGTTTTCACTTTTCTACAAGGCATGCACATCGTTTGAAGTTACCATACGTTTTTATCGGCTAACTTAACGAGCCTGTAAGCATGCGCCAACATCCGGATGATGTTTTCGTTTTATGTTATACTAGTTTATCCAACTTTTTCTGTTTATATTGAATGCCAACACCTTCTACATCGCTACTGCTACAGATTTCTGGGCGGAGAACCGATGTTGAGGCACATTTAGAGATTTAATCACAATTAAACACTCTCAAGAATAAGAAAAAACAGCCGCCGTTGACTGTTTTACTGCTCGCTCCCACGCAACGTAGGCAGTCGGAGCCCAGTGTTGCCAGGAACAACGAACACGGATGTATTAGGTGTGTGCATTAATTTCTGCCGTTTTTTGCGTACAGAAACATTTTTATACGAAATTAAAACCAAGTGTGCATTAGCCAATGTATTGCTCATCCTTAGCTACAAATTCTTGCCAACTTTCTGGTATCTTGTTGACTCCGCGTCTAAAAAAGTCTTCATCTTTTGAGGCAATCCAGTCATCCACCTCTTTTCGCACTTTTTCGGCATTCCGGAAGCGTTTATCTGCCAGACTGACATGCATGGATCGGAATAGGTAGTAATCAGAAAGATCAGAGAGTATGCGGGCCAAACAAGCAGATCCTATCCAACATCTGCAACTTTTTTTAAGGACATTCTTTGCAACATGGGGTCTGGCATGTTCGTGGTGATGAGAACATCCTACAAACTGTCACGTTGGTGTTCGTAGCGGTCAGAAGTAACAGTTCGTTCAACAGGTTCAGCAGCTCATAGTACACAACACCCTTTTGATCCCACCGCCAAATGCACACAGCATTTGTTTTTGGCAATTGAAAGTCCGCTTTTGTTGCGAACTCTCGAGTGAAGAGAAACCATCCCAGCAGGTTCGTTCAGATGGACTTTGTCCTCCATAAGTATCGAGAAGGCTTCAATGCCAGTTTTTCTCAAATCAAACAGCAGGAGAAGGGCCCCCGGGAAAACGGTTTATCACGTTCGATGACCGATTAATCTGAGACCAACGGTCTTGGGGAAAAACTGATCTGTCTGCCTTTAAGTAGGTAGCCAATACCCTATCTTACAGAATACCCATACCCAAGCAAACCTCTAATATAGTTCGCGCAACGACCCTTTGAATTCGGCGGCGGAAATTAATGCACACATCTAATAACACAACAGTCATCATCAGTGACTAGTGAGTGAGAAGAAATGATACCTGTGATCCGTCGGGTTCCATAACCGGAGTGCCTTGGCTAGCTTCTGTCTAATCGGTGCCAAAACTGGTTGCAGTCGGTCTCCAAGAACAGCCAACCAAGGAACAAGCCACGAATGAATAGGAATACTATCCGTCAAGGGATCCCATGACGACACACGGTCTTCTATTCGAGGAATTATCACCTGTAACATACAGGTAATTTTACATACATGGGAACACAAACATCAAATTTCGATGTGCAACGGTCATAATAGTAAAGTTAAGGACGAAAAAAATCATCAATAGTTTTTGTTAATCTAACAAATTTACTCGTCAAGTAATTCTAAGAAACTATGCCTTTATAGCATGACAATAATGTGCTTTTACAACTGGTTCCTGAAGTATACTAAGCGATGATACACATTGTAGCGATTTAGACGATTTCGCCCATCACACTGGTTGACCACCGAAATGTACCGATAGATATGTTAGCCTATTGGGAGTGTGTAAAACAACATAAGTTTTTAACAGCTCTCATACTGAGTTGGAAAACACACCAGGAACGCTTGAGTTTTCCTGTAAAGTCCGAGAAACAGGCAAGCCGAAGGCTGATGAAAACTCATTCCAAAAACCCAGTCGCTGCCTCAAAATTTTGTTCGGTTTAACGGCAAATGCAAAAATGGCACTGGCAATGTCACAACGCTATCCTGACGGCAGCATTGACAAGCGCACTTTAGATAAGCATTTTTTACGCCCCTTATCACGAAGAACTACAACCATTATTTCCTGAAAACACTAAAAGCGTACTCTACGCCTTACCAAAATGTTTTGTACCTCAAATGCGCTGAGAAGGACATTACAGGCAACGGAACTCGCTAAATCACTGCACCTGTTCTAAAATGTTCTCTTTCATCCAACCAGGAAGCACTGGCAACCACATCTCAATTACGCGCAGCATTGGTTCCATATGGTCGCGCGGATCCCAAGTTAAAGAAGCTCGTCGAAGCGATGGAAGCCATCCTTCCCATAACAATCGGTCGTATGCAGTAAGTCGATCTGAACGCAACGCAGAGTAGCCATGTGTTTCAGCATTAAATCGACACAACAGGAAATAGTGTAAAATCGAACCACTGAAGATTGAAACGCTCTCTTTATCGACCAATATATCCCTCCATTCCTTCATTAGGTCAACGCCGTAAATTAGGTGCTCTGGATCCAGTGGTTTCCATTTCGAAAAGTGATCCACAATCTGAAGAAAGGCGTTGAGAGCTGCTAATTGAAAAAGTTTAATACGAAGAAGACCTGTGGAAGTACAAGTTGGATGGCCAAGGTTTCAATGTCGAATAATTGATATTCCTCCTTGTACTCGGATCGCAATTTGACAAAAAGCTGTTGACACTCGTTCATAGAGGGAAGATCGTCTCCTTTCCGCTTTGAGAAGCTTAATTTCGGAATTAGAAATATACAGTGCTACACGTCGAGGTAATATGTAGACCATTACGAAGAATCTAGATAATAGTGAGCTTACTTTTCTATCAATTCGAAGACTTCCTTGATTCGTTCATATTCTTTCGCTTCAGTTTCATGTAGTAGCTTAGCTTGCTCAAGATCGTATTCCAGAGCTGTGGTCCTATCCTTAAAACGAGCTACACTAAAAACGTAGATAGAACGACCTCCAACGCTACCTAAGCAACGCAAAAGAGTGGAACGCATCCTTGTGAGACTTTCGGATCGCGTACTGCGATAAAACAGCAGTTAACAAAACATCAAGTCAGAACGCATTTGAGTCAGCTTGGCAGTTAAACTGCGCATAGATGGACTAGTCAACAAATTTTGAGAGATGTGGTTAGTAGCAGATCTAATTGAAAAGAAATGCAACCTTTATCGATTTGAGCTGACTGTCATTTCTTCGGATATTTTCTTCGGTAAGGTCAACTAGAAGATTGAGATTATGCATCAATTCAGGAACATCGAATACATCGCGGTCGCTGATATCATTGAAAGCCGCCCTGAAATTGCAAGGTCAAATGGTGTGTTAAAAACTGAAAATGACAATCAACTAGTCAGCTATAGGACACCATTAAACTGCAACTTATTCTCATGACACCACAATTGAGGCCTACCCATTTCTGATAATTTCGTCACAAATAGACGACAGCAAAATTTGATCAAAACAACATATGCCTTTACTTTACAAGCCGTCATGTTTACCAGAAAACCAAATTAATCATGGGCAACCGAAAAATGCGCCTTTTACTGACATGATCCTAACACAGAATCATAATTAAAGCTTGTTTAGGATTGAGATTAGGTTTCGAGACTCGAAAGCAAACATTACAGCTTGAGGTCAGTTCAGCAGTGAGATACCAGATACAAGACCACAAGTGTTGAAATCAAAGGAACAAGCAAACAAGCACAGAATAAAAAAAGATGCCTCTCAACAAAGGCAAAAACTCTCCCAAATGCATGATTTACATAAGGAACACCTCATAATGGCCTATCTATAAGTGGGACTTCCTAGCCGTGCAAAAGCGATCGAAACTTCGCGACTTCCCATTTTACAGAAGCACTCTGCAAATTCATGAAGGAATTCAAATCTCAAGTGGATGGCCCCAATGAACCCTGGCATTCGTCTAGTCCTGTCTGGCCTTCACAAAGACTCTAGAAAAAACCAAGGAGAAATCAGTAACATTGCTGCATGAAGGAAGACGAAAGGTAGCACATAACACAGCCTTTAGGTACCGATTCAATTGTCTACCTGCTTTTCATTGAAAATGAATCATATCCACTGTATACACGTTGCTCTGGACCAGTCATATCTATCACTTTCACGCCCGTCTTCACAGACGATCGGAATCCAATCGATCCTCCTTCTTCGATGACTTCATCTATAGTTTTATAGCGAGTTTTAACCTAAACATCATTTTCTGTGAGAGACATAATGATAGAGTGTAAGGAGTCTGTTACGGGAATGGAATGCAGGATGTTCATAAAGAAATGACAAGTTGCCATGAGCGCCTTTTCAAGCAAGAACTTTAATGTACCTTGGCAGCCTTTTTCCAAGCGTTCTTTAGCTGTGGCGTTGACAATTCTTCAACATTCGATTCCTGCTTTTGATCACTGATGCGGCGTTGAGCGTCGGCGGCAGATTCTGCAAACATTTAACATTTAAAGAAAGAGTGAAACCATTAAAAACCATAGATATTCGTGAAAACTAACCTCCAAACTTTGGTCCAACAGCCTCCTTTCCATAGGCACCGATTGCACCACGACCTTTACGCACCGTAGCTTGCACAGGTTCCACAATACCTTGACGTGCCGCTCCAAGCCCTTCTCCTTCTTTATAACCCATGGACTGGAAAACATGTACAATGTACAGAGCCCTTATCACATATCATAGTTATACGCAGGGATATTTTTACTCTGCTTTCTCGATTGAAGCTAAAGCAAGAGCGTTGCATTATATAGCATGTTGGGAGCACCATTACCTTCATCATATTTTTGATCACTTCGCCTTTCCCAAATTTGGTCCAATCGCTAGGAGCATTTGGATCCACCGCACCAGTCACCGCGGAAGTTCGAATCCCTTAATCGATAGAAAAATGAATTTGCCAGACTCGATGTTGTTAGGACGGAAGTAAATACGTGTGGGGAGCAATGGGGATTTATGGGCGAAAACTCCATACCAATTAAAGTCGCACTTATGGATAACTAAGAATGCAAAAAAAAGAAGACAACGGATACAGAATCCCAGAAAATGAATTTTCAAAGTAGGAAAAATGGACAATGTAAACATTAGATTGATGGGAAGCCACGAGTGTAGGTAGGTGTAGGCGATCCGGGTATTTTCAGAAATAAAATTCACAAAGGGATTACAAGAACATTATTAATGAAAAGACAGTGAATGTACTTACCAGCAAAAACATTGGCACCGACAGACTTTTGTTTCCGCCTCTCTTTTCTTGAAATTATTTCTATGGGAGCATCATCAGCATTTCTGACATTTTCTTTCAACTGAAAACCCATCTTAGAGCTATTCCTTTTACGGAAAAGTAAATGAGGCGAAACAAATGCAAATGGTTCTACCTTATCTGACGGATCCAAACTGCTTCCCTGTTTTATACCTCCACTTATGAAATTGATTGGAGCTGAGTAGTCCTTCCTTGCCTTTTTCCTAAAAATTATTACGTAACTCATGCTGAAATGAAAAGCGTAAGAAATGTATTACCCAAATGAAGGCCTCCCGTATGCTTCCTCCTCATCACTCTCTCGATCCGCCCATATACCTAAATAAGAATCGATTCGAACTGAGCACTGAACGGTTCATAAAACAATGTGTAGAAGAGGGATAGTCAGGCTCCCTCACCCGCCTTCTCCGCTCTACTAATCTGCCAACGACATCAGCGTTTGCCCCTTCATATGTATTACATCGGCTGCACAACCACCCCTGTCACAAGTATTTAATCTTTGAAGTCATTTAATGCTTTTTTCCCCATTCGATACTTCCCCATTGAATGAATTTGTGGTAGAGCCGGTCAAGGTATAGCAGCGCACCACGCGATTTACCAGAAAACTTCAAAACTGTAACTCGACAAACGATGGAACCTAAAAACTAAAGAGAGGTGGTCTCACCCCACCATATGTTGCCTGATTCTTGGTTTGATAATGTCGTCGACCAGGATTCAATGCAAATTCAAGATCTCGCTCATCAAAATCGAAAGCTTCCATTCCCTCATCTTCCTCTGCCATCGTCAAAGTTGAAGGTCTAAATCGACATTAAGAAACGAAATTTCCACAGCAAAACTCAGAAAACATGGAAAAGCCATAGCAGATTGTGGTACAAACACTCAGGAGAACCCTGTAAAAAGAGGAGATCGAAGCGCGGCGAAGTTCGTTGAACCTCGTTAGGCTGGCGCAAACTCAGTTCACGCACGAAAACTCGTCCAAACGAAGCGATGCCGCTCGCAGCTGTGGACGAGCTCAGAAGTGAGTTACATTATAAAAATTGCTCAAGTAAGTCACAGCTGTTGTGTTCTGGTGAGACTTTAATAAATTGTGACCAAAATGCAGAACAAACTCTTATTCAATTTACGCTTCGACTTTTTCGCCTTCGTCAGAATCTTAAAAGACGACCGGTCTTATTTTTGACCACGTTCATCATCTTGGTCACAGGTTTTATCAAAATCTCACGAGAACTATTCAAAGTAAAGGGTGACCAGTAGAAATCAGTGGAGCATGGAGCCAACAATAAGCAGACCCATCAAAAAGTCGAATTAACCAAACCGACTAATGATGGCTCGATTCGCCTCCTCACCGGATGAACCGTCTCCACCTTCCCCTAAAGTTCATCAGTGGTTTGGGAATACGGGAAAAAGGAAGGGGAAAGAACATATTGGTCAAAACAAGGACAGCAATGAACATGAAGTTATACTGATCGTTATTTTTCTTCCAGAACTCCATCCTACTTATACAATCGGCTAAGTGTGTCTGTTGGTGTGTTTGTGTGTTTGTGTGTATGTGTGTGTGTCTGACCGGAAGTTCATAACTCCTGTCCCCGTGGACCTAGGAAGTTCAAACTTGGTAGGAGTACTGAGGGCAGGACGGGAACACTTATGGTGGATGGCAGGACCGGGCTCCGCCCAGGGGGCGGGGTTTGTGTGAAAAAATGTTTGAGCGGAAAATCATAACCCTGTCCCCATGGACCCACAAGTTCAAAGTTGGAAGGAGTACCGGCGGCAGGATGAAAACACCCATGAAGGGGAGCGAAACCAGACTCCGCCCACAATGGGCGGGGTTTGAAAGGGAAAATAATAACTGCTATCCCCGTGGGCCTAGAAAGTTCAGATCTCAAAGGGGAACATGCGGCAGAATGTGGACAGTTATAGTGAGTAGCTAGACCGGACTCCGCCCACAGGGGCGAGGTTTTAACAGAAATTCATAACTCCTGTCCCCGTGGACCAAGAAAATTCAAATTTTGAAGGAATACATGCGGCAGGATGTGGGCAGTTATAGCGGGTAACAGGACGACTCCACAGGGGGCGGGGTTTGCACGAAAATTGTCAGTTTGGTCCTAGGGGGTTCAAACTTGGTAAGATTACTGTAAACATGATAAGCACACGTATGAAGGATGGCAGGACAGGACTCCGCCCAGGAGGGGCGGGGTTTGTGCGAAATAAATGTTCGAACGCAAATTCATAACTCCTGTCCCCGTGGACCTAGAACGTTCAAATTTGGTAGGAGTGATGGGAACGGATGGAAACACTCACAGTAGAAGGCAGGACCAGACCCTGCTCACAGGGGACGGGGATTGCGCGAAAACTGTCAACTTGGCCCTACAGCGTTCAAACACGGTAGGAGTACAGGCGACAGGATGGGAACACCTATTATAGGTGGCAACAAGAGGACCCGTCTACAGGGGGCGGTGATTGCGCGAAAATTTACAATTGGGCCCTAGGGCGTTCAAAGTATTCCAATTGCACGGAAATTTCACGGAGGTACGCTTCCTTAGCCCATCTGTCTTTTTTCTCTTAATAATCGCCTTTGTGATATTATACGATGTTCTATCCGGACACAGCGAAGATGGCTTGCAGAAAAAATTGAGTTCGGAGCTAATACTCAGGGTGTAGAGCTTTCAAAGAAGAGAGAGAATCCGAAGTGTTATTTACGCATAGCAAATTCTCACAAGAAGGAGGAGCGCCCGGCCAAGCCGGGCGACATTATAAGAAGGAGGGAAGCCCGGCCCGACTGGTTAAATAAATAGACGATTTTATTGAAATTATCCTTGATAGGAAACTTGTCGCATATGAATTCATTGTTAACTAAATAGACGATTTTATTGAAATTACCCTTGATAGAAAACTTGTCGCATATGAATTCATATCTACATATACACCTGACTATACTAATAATTACGGATTCTTCTTTGAATTCACTACTTGATAGAATTTCCATCATTTATCTTAACTTTGTGGAGAACGTTTCCATATTAGAACATGTATTGGAAATTTTCGACGCTTTCTTGTATATAACAGAGGCTTTATTAGTATTAGAAATATTAATAAAAGGATATAGTCTTGGGGCATTAATCAATCCCATTTGAGGGATGCGCCTCTATAATAAACTATTTCATTATGGAACTGTCCACAAGGTGAATCTCTAACCATCGCGAATGAAACGGTTTCAGGAGAAAGGGAACTGCGAAATACCACGAGTAGTGTAGGTGAGCATGATAAACTCGGACAGTAATCATTGATCAATCTGGTCTGAAGGATGCTCTCACGCATTCGACTTCTACTCAGAATCGTAGTGGCGCATTGTATGCATATGTGGCCTATAAAACTTGCGGTGGCCAGCCGATGAACAAGTCAGTGCTTTCATCCTCCCAGACGAGTCTGGTACCAATTAAGCGACCCCGGAGGGATGGAAGGCTTGGTTGGCCTCGGCGGATATCGATCCGGATTTAGAACTTGTGACCGTGCGCGTGTGAAGTGTGAAATTCGCCACTACACAACCTCCGCCCTGAAGTATTAGTATCACAATGAGAAAATCTGATGACGTTGAAACTGAAATCATCAGTTTTGTTATATAATTTGGTTCTGATTTTATCATTAGTTATTTTAATATTCATATCTAAATAATAGGTTGATGCACAATTATTGCGGATTTTTTTGCGGCTTCTTTTCTCTAGATAGAAGTTGAATCTTGGATTCGGGACTCAATAGAAATAATCTTCGTTTTTTCCTTAATAGGAATATGTTTGGAAAGTCATCTTTATATATGCCAAATTATGCTCTATTACTTCGAGAAAGCGTGGAACGTGGCAAATCATAAAGCGATCTCAACAAACTTCTCAGCGATGGAACAGTCAGCCAAAGCTGAATTGAATCTGCTTCTACATTCGCCCTGCTCACCAACGGAAACTCTTATGGATTATCACGTCAATCGTCCGTTGAAAAATTGGCTAGCGAACTGGGTTTTCGAGGGGGTGGGTGACTTGATGGCCGACGTCAAGGCCTGGATCGCCTCCAATATTGGAACGTCTTCGCCTGTGGAATTCGACTGACTAGCAAATGGGGAGCAGTGCTTGACTTAGACTTTGGATATGTTCCGATGTAATTATTCGAACATGTCTTTGCTAAGTATTTCTATCTTTTCTTCAAGTAAAGTTTGCTGGAAAAAATTCCGCAATAATTATGCATGAACCTAATAAACAGTTACTATTTTTCTCGCTCAAATGTGTTTTTTTAGTTCAAGCGTTTTTCTATGTATTAGAAAAAATTGCTCTTCAATATCTCATTCAGCTCGGTCATGTAGTAGCAGACGGGTCGCCCGGCTTACGGCGGACCTCACTCCTTCCTCCGAAAAAATAGCTAGAAAATAATGTGGGTACGAAGGGGGAAGGAGGAGGAGGGGGTAGGGGGGAGGGCTTCGCTGTTATTCAACAATGAGAACTTTAGTGCGAAGAAGGATAAGTAGCCGACATTGGAGCTAGGATAAGGTATCAGTTGAGTAGTTTATAATATGGTGGTTCACTCACCCCTGTGCTCTTCCCTCCTGATGCTCAGGTCAAAAAAAAACTGTTTGATTTCGGCTAAGAAACGTTCCCGAGTACAATTATGGGTTGACCTCCTCATTTCTAGTGCACAGTGTTGGAAAAAGCGAGGTCTTTCAACTACATTATTATAAATACCTCCAATTTTTGTATAGACATACCCTACCTATTAGCGCGATCCTAATACAGATCGAAATCACAGTTTTGAAGTACCCACTTAACTCCAAATTACTCACTTTACTAAGCAGCACTCGATTTATTAACCTACCAACCAATTTACAGCTTTATCTATAAAGAGGAAATGTGAAAGCTGGGTTTTCCATGTCACGCCCTCCATCATAATCATAAAGTTTTACGGACGGACAGACCGAGAAACCGACAAACACTCAAACCAACAAACCAACACACCAAGTTGTGAAACTCTGAACAGAGGGTGAGGTGCGTAGAGCAATAGGAAAGGCTAAGGTTGGGTAGGCAACTGGCCAGGATCTAGCACCAGTCGAGATATGGAAGACACTTGAAATGCACGGGATAAAATGGCTCATCTCATTTCTGAACAGTTTGACCACCAAAGGTGGAACCCCGGATGCGTGGAGGAGAAGAACTGCCATTACGAGGTCTGGTGTTGCAACTACTGAGTGGTCGCATTGACCGCTCACATAATGAGACTGTACGAATCAAATTTGAGGGAGATGGCCCCGATCTCACAGGAGCAACCCGGTTCTATGTCCGAAAGTTTCACAACGGATGCCATCTTTATAGCTAAACGATTAATTGATAAGTATCGAGAAAAGCGTAGACTGTGCTACTCAGCCTTTCTCGATCTGGTGAAGTCATTGCAGGATTCCAAGGCTAATGACTCCTTTGGAGAGCGCCTGAGAAAGAAACGTTCTAGAACACATGATCTCCCTAGTCAAGGACATGCGCGATAGCTCTACGTCAACAATACGCTCTCCTTACGGGGGGGGGGGGGGGGGGGGGGGGAGGCGCGCGATTCACGCGTGACCCCATTACAGATCTCGCGCACGCATCACTTACTCCAGTACTCTTCTGCTGAGATGGACCAAATAAACTTGCAGTAGTCCACGGCTTCACCATTAATAAAGCAAATCTCCTTACTATGGCAAAAAAGCCCCTTCGAGGTTGAGAATTCACCTCATAGGTCAACAATTTACTTGTCAAACGTTCAAAATAAGAATAGCTTCAAATTTTTTGATCCTATAAAACGCAATCCTTCTGTAAACGTGCATAGTCGGTCACTTCTTTACTTATTTTACTTATAAGTTCTTATTTCTTCCATTATGATGGTAGGCATGATGTTTTAGCGCATTTTGTGCGATGACCTCATTATATTGACGCGTGAATCGCACCACACCCCTCCCTACGGCCTCCGAATCAATAGGTGTCACGGTTGAGGTACATCACGAATGAACTCTGCGCCCTTTCCTCTTCATACTTTCGGTGGACCTCATCACAAAACAACTGGACCGCCGAAGACCATCTTTTACACTAATGATATCGCTAGCCTAGCGTACAGAGGAAGTCTAGGACGAGCTGTAGGATGGCAGAAAATCCCATAGGAGAAGAGGCTTCCGCCTGAACGCCATGAAGACCAAGTTCGTCAGCTATAAGTGGTGCACAGGGTGAATCGTAGATGGTCTCGGGGGAGCCTTCGAAAAGGTGCTTCTCCAGTACCTGTGGAGTGATGTAGCCACTGATAGAAGGGTGAACGCCGAATAAATGTATGCACGTGGAGGGAGTGCACCGGTAACCTCTCCAACCGCTGGTGCTCCATTACGCTCAAAGAGATGGTTTATCGGACAGTGGTAAGGCCCATGATGCTCTACGGCAGCGAGTATCGGCCGTAAGTAAAAACCATGAAGACCACTTCACAGAAATGGGGATGCTCAGATGGGCAAGCGACTGAACGCACTGCAGTGGATCAGAAACTAAGGTGTCAGGGCGGCTAAGCATTGGCCCCTGTTCACATGAAGGTGAGAGAGCAGCGTCTGCAATGGTTCGAGCACGCCCTGAGAAGACCATAGAATCATTCGATAAGGGAGGCAATGAAGCCGAGGTTCAGGGTAAGCGACCGCTGTCTCGGATGGCTGCCATTCGTTCGGGTCAGGACACGACAGCACGTTAAGTAAGGGCTGCATGGTCACACTGTGGATAAATTCACAAATCAGCTGGATAGTGTACACCTTCCACTTATCCATTTATATGATTCAATTTTGAATAAGTCGATTCTATAACTTTTTCGCACCTGCGCAAGTAACTATTACCAGTTAGCGTCAGTGTTGTTCATAAAAACTGTCCCTTTTATAGAAGGAGAGAAAAATAATTCGAATGTCAAAAGGCGAGGAATAAGGACAGGAAGAGAAGGCTCGTTGTTAGGGCGGATGTGGTGCAGTGGCAAGGGGAGCACTTCACACACGCATGGCCATGGGTTCGAATCCCAGATCGATATCCACCTAGGCCAACCAAGCCTTCCATCGCTCCGGTGTCAGTGAATTGGTATCAGACTTGTCTTGGAGGATAAAAGCACTGACTTGTACATAGGCTGGCCATCGCAAGTTATTGTATGGGCCACATACGCCACTACGATTATGAATGGGAGTCGAATGCATGAGAGCATCCTTCAGACCAGATTGATCAGTGTTTACTGTCCGAGTTTATCATGCCCACCTACACTACTCATGGTATTTCGCAGTTCCCTTTCTCCTGAAACCGTTTCATTCGCGATAGTTAGAGATTCACCTTGTGGACAGTTCCATAATGAAATAGATCACATCATCGTCAATCGGAAGTTTGCCTTCTGCCTGACTGACGCCGCTGTTGTTTTAAAGTTATACAGATTCTACAGCTACAAAGAGATTGGACAATCGTTTCCCGTGCACTAGATTCGGTTTCCAATGCGTGGAGATGGAGCTGTGAAGTTCAGGGGAACGAAACCCTAAGTCTGTCATCAAGTAGGACCAGTTCGTTTCCTTTGCGAGTTCCTGGGGAGATTCCGTTGGGAGAATATCGATAAAGGATACAACCGGCTCATCAAATATCTGCACGATAGTGATCGGAGAACAGAGGCCCTACAGGTCGCCAAGAGACCTCTCTTCGAAAACTTCAGAGGTGGCACCCCATCGTGAAGTTGTGCGAGCTGATGGCAATCATAAAACAACGTCCGAACTTGGGAAGCTATGCAGAGAAGCGGTACAGGATCTCACAGAAAGAAGAGCAGTAATTCTGGCTACCAAGACATTCGCAAATCCCGCCGGAACGCTGCCAATCACAATACCACGATGAGTTCCCTTTGTCGTCCTTACGGGAGTGTTACTACATCTCGGAGGACGATGGTCGAGGTCATCTATGACTTCCACTCAGATCGCTTCGACAGCCAATTCTAACTGCCTACCTATCATCTTGGACAGGACGGATATGTCCTTCCTTTGGTTCTTCCTTCCGAAATTTGACATGCCATCCCGTAAATGAAAACATTTATGATGCCCGATCCTGACAAGATTCAGCTAGAACATATAAGGAGCCTTTCACCGTTTATATAGGGTCATCAGATCTCTGGCTAGACCTTTCACGCATTACCTCACAGCCGTGCGAGCAAGCGGGTTTCCAAGGAGTTCAGTACATTCAACCACATTTACACTTCGAATAAGATCTTTGATACCGTTGGAACAGAAGCGGTAGCTAAGCCCTGTGCAACTACGGTGTTCCTACACAGTTTACAAGGCTCTACAACAACTTCGCTACCAGGATTCTGCTACTTACAGGAAAGTCATCGTCAACTAGAGGAAGAGATCGGGCAGGGCGGTACCATCGAAGCCAAACTTTTCGGTGCGAGAACATCTTGCGTCACTCGAAAAGGGGAGAGTTGGAAGTGAATATTAACGGCCGCTACCTTCAACATCATCACTTCGCAGACGAAATCGTACTTATGTAAAATACCAAACATCGAGTAGGCGTAACGAATGCTGGCCGAATCCCACAGCGCTAGTGTCGGGTTCAGCCAGCATTCGGCTCTGCTGCTGGTCGGCTTTAGACTGAATTTAGCAAAGATGGAGAAACGGATTGGTACCTGATGCTCTCTTTACGTTAAGGAACGGTTATCTCCGAACGCTTGGTTACGTGTTTCTAGGTCGGGAAGTCAACATGACGGAACTGCTTAGCTTCGGAGCTGAGCAGAAGGTGGCGTGGGGAGCATTTAGGAACATAGAGGAGATAGAGAACAAGAAAAAGAACATCCGGCTTTGCGCTCACCTTACGACAATGCGGTCCTTACTGCTTTGACGTACGCCTCGAAGACTAGGACTCCACGAAAGACCATTAGACAAGGGCGCTCACGGAAAGGATCCTTCGGAATGTCAAACGAACACCAGGGCAGCCGCCAGCGCAATGTCAGAACTCGTCACGAAAGCTCTGGACCAAAGAAACGCTATGCCTCGTACCCCTCGAGCGAGGACGATCCACTGGACCACTCTGGCCTACGACGAGAACGAATGTAGACGCCACTGGCGCCTGCTCGAGGAATTCGCCGGACTGCAGGTGGTCCAAAAGATGAAAGTGTTTGTCGCGATTGAGAGATGAACACATGGGTGATTCCAGAGTGAGGAGTTGAGGAAGACAATTATTATTTCTTCTGACTTAAGTCCCTCATTTGTAGGAAACGCTGAAGTCTTCCGTGACATGTGTTAATAGGACATGGTGGGAGCGACATCGCTAGCGAGCCACTTCAGCAAAATTGCAGCACATATATCACCCACTCTTGCTAACTAAACACAGCACGTCATATAGGTTACGAACAGCTTTATTCCACCACTAAGGACATGCTCAGTCAACTAAAACCCTTCAAAATTCCGGACTATCAACGAGCTCCGAACAACGTGGACGTTGAACGCGCTCCAATCCAAACAACGATCTCGTCCGTTTCGCGAAGCTTGCTGCACATCGACGCGCGCGGCACCGCGTTTGGCCGATAGCCGATCGCTCAAAGTACACTCGCACCGACGAATTTCGACTTTCCCAATACTGAACTTTCAGTGCACTTATAGAAAGATATTTCGTATGGGTGATATGGGATGGAAGAAACCCGGTGGGTTAGTGAGCCAGAATGCCGTCAGCTCAAGGAGCGCTGCACGAGTGCACATGCACGCTGTATGCGCCAGTGGTGCACGTGACGGACGGAGGAGGTGAGTGAAGAGTGTGGGTGAACGCAAACGCCCCACGAATCGGGCTTATGTCTTTCTCTGTACCTGCGGTGATCTAGCGTTATTCACTGTTTGCCAGTTTTCCTATTTGGTATATTTGTATTTCAGTTCTGATTGGTGTTTTTGTACCAGTGGTGGCTCTTTTGCCACACCTAGAGACTCTTCGTCCTCGTAATTACTAAAGTTCCGTTTTTTTTTCACGTTGCTACCAATTATCATGCATTTTTGTGGATGCATTTGTGTGCTGAACATAGTTATCATCGCTCAACTTGCAGATTGCAATAGGGATCAAATGTCATGCAAGCGGTGATTGCTCTGTGTCATTTTTGCGAGAATCACGGCCCAAGGGTGATGATGATCACCCAGCCGATGCGTAGTTTACCTTCGGCTTCATCCAGTTCAGTGTCGTTGTCAAGTGCAGCTTGCCAGGTGAGTTATTTCAGGATTTTTTTGAACGATAAATTTTATTCTAACGATCCCTTGAATTATCACTTTTTTTTNTTTTTTTTGTTGCTTCCTAAGTTTTACGAATGTCTTGTTCCTTCCGCCTTCAGGAATTTTACCTATAATTTACCTTTAATTGTTCTCTGATTTGGCCCAAAACTGGCATTCCTCCCCATCCATAAAGGTCGTAAAAAAGCAGAAATTTACACTTCTAAGATGGCAAATTGTCTACGAGAAGAACCTCGTCAGATTCGGATATTTCTGCAAAAACCTCAACTTGATTTCTTCTCTGTGCGGTGCGTCATTGAATTCAAACTAGACTAGTTTAAATGGTTCGTTTAGTCTTTTGGATCATCAAAGGAATTTTACCGAACGTGGAAGCAATTTCTTTCCCCAATAATTGGGGAAAGTTGATGCTGAGAGTGGTTTGGAGGTACTAAAATTATCTCTTGCCCAGACAGCGATGGCTGGCCAGGAACAACTTGCTCTCATGGTCCGGTTTAGTTGGAAAGTGACTACAAAGTTATCAGGGGTATCCAGAAATCAGAAAGATCGATGTTTTCAAGTCGGTTGTTTTCGCCATTTTCGCAAAATCAAAGGAATCACTTGGCATTATTTAAAAACCAAAACCCGCATTTAGTGTCGAAAAGGAATGAATTATTTTCTGCAGTCACTTTACGATAGTGGAAAACGCCACGAATTTACGCAATAAATAGTTGCAACTTTTCCGAGATACCTTCTTAGTCCTCCTAATCCCCATTACGAGTGTTGCCCACGATTTTAAAGAAGCTGCTGTTAATTCGGGTTTTCGTGGTCCTTTCCTTCTTCATTAACGAGTATTTCCCACCGTTATTGTGCATTACTGCTATATTCGTTTTTACCCTTGCCCCATTTAGGCACCTAGTTACTGAAGTTTTTATAGTGTTGCCAAGAATGGGAAGGTTGGTAAAATGTAATGAAGGTCAACAAGATTTAACGTTTGTTTAAGAAAGAAGCCTTCGTTGACTGAAACAATCACTTTTTCTGATTAACTTGCTTTCACTTTTTATTTTTTGCAGGTTACCAATTGAGAGTGATGTAGGAAATAAGAGGAATTCTGGAAAGTAGAATAAATTGAGTTAGAGGATAATGCTATGTATTGCCTTTTCTCGTGTTTTTATTCTCAATATCCTCGCCTAATATTGCATCTGCTTCAAGCGCTCCAATTTTGTGTTGATAATGCGCTTTATAATTTTTTATTTTAATTGTTGATCTCACAGGACAAGAGAATAGAATTTGATCAGATCTCACCTGGAACCGATGGCGAACACGATGGCCCTATCTATTATGGAGACTGTACTCCGGAAATTCTAGAAGACCCTGAGGAAAGGCGAGTTCTTTTTGGTCTTGTCAATTGACTTTTTGTGATCCTTTTTTTGTCCAGAATTAAATTTTTCGCTTCTTTCTATTGACTCTTACGATTAATTACCATTTCATTCATGTTCAGGTGTAATGCTTGCACATCCTTCGGTAATATCAACCAGCCATGTTTGCTTTCGAACGACCATGAAAATAAAACTAGCTACATAAGTACTCAGGTAAGCTTCGTTTTGAATATTTTTCTTGTGACAATGTATAGCAAGTTGAGCGCGTTTATTATTGTACTGCTGTGAGTATCTACAGTCCTAATTGCTGGGAGATTATTGGGTAGTAGTTCTTGTAGTATTCAGGTGAACGGTGTTAGGTTAATCGCCCAATTAGCACATTTTTCATGAATCCTGGCAAATCTTTGTAGTGCTTTTTGGTACAAAACCATCGCTCCAATATGTACCTCGGACATTCCTAGAGAGAAATACAGGTTCAATATTTTCTTCTCACTCGTGAAAATCTCACAGATCAGAGGCGACGTTTTCCTATGAGGGGCTTGAAAGTAGAAAAATGTGGAATTTTGTACATTCCCCATCTTTTATTCGTTTAAATATGTTTACGAAACGGCTTTTTCTCCTTCTGGCTCGAATAATTGAGATAATTCGTTTGGGAGGTGGAAAGTATTGGCTCGTGCCCGGGCCGGCTTTCATAGATGGATTCATGCCGGATAAGCATTCAAACATATCTTCGTACGTAAACAAGATTTCTATTTTTTCAGATACCGTTGAAAGAACGAGTCTATGAGCGCGTTCGAAACGCTTGTTTGCGCTCATTAAGTTGTGAAATTTCTGCACCGCGTAAAGGGACTCCCTCTCCGCTTAGACAAGTACTTGCAGTCACTTCCGGTGAGTATCTTTCCGATTCCGGGGTGTGATGCAGTAGGAACGAAAATGTCGCGTCGCGGTGAGAGGGACGTCGCGTTTCGCGCGCGAAGGAATGTAGCAGGATGCAGCAGTAGGTAAGAAGTACAAGAGCAAAAGTACTAGTAGTAGAATTATGCATAAAATAATGAGCGCATATCGATTGAGCTGTAAAAGGAACGCCAGAGCTGTAATAACGGCGAATGAGTGGTCCGCGACAGCCGCGTGCGGCAAATCGATTACTCGAAATCGTTCCTAATGCCCGTCTCGCCCGATTCCGTCATGTGTAAGGCATAGCTCTCGTCCGTAATTCAGCGGTACGCGTGAATCCAATGCGATGGGATGGAACAGCAGCGGATGATGCGGATGAAAGCGGAGGAAATGACGTGGACGGATCTGTGTTCTTTGGCGATGCGGACAATGGCTATTGTTTTTCGCTTACTTTTAGGTAACGATTTCATTAACACGTCATGCCATGACCTACAATTTTATCGATTTTCGACTTTGCTTTTTTTCAGGTTGCGAGATTCTAAAGCTCGTGGTTTCCATCGACTATATTCTTTTATTGTGGTTAGCAATGATATGACATACATTATTCAAAACTATGAATTTTTCCTGCAAGCCCTTACAGCAATGAAGGAGAAATTGCAGGTTAGTTGTGGGCGTGCCTATTCTCACTTTTTCATGTACGCTGATTCATCATCCTAAGACTATGCAAGAAGTGAAGAAACAAAATGCAATGCTTGCGGGAATAGCACCGCATGTCACTGTGATTAGTCAGGTTTAATCCGGAGTGCCCCATATCGGAGTGGTTTCGAGGCCTTTTGCGTTTTGTCAGTGGTTGGAGGCTGATGCATCTTTGCTTTCATGGACGCATTTGCAATTAATATGGAACCAGTTAAAAAATGACCCAGCGGTTGCACTCCATAATGGCATCAAGTACAGTTTTTTGTTTATGTTTAGGGGAATGAGTTCGAAGCACTTGTATCTGAATAAGTTTTATGATATTTTGCACACGAATAGCGCTGAAGATATTTCGATCTATTTCAAGTCGTGGGCATTTTCTCATCATAAGAAAAAACTGGTGCATACCAAACTTCCTTCTTCTTCTTTGGCCGTATACAAATCCTTAAGGGGTTGAGGATTTGTGCCAAAGAAGAAGAAATTTGTTTTTGTTATATTCCTTAGAAGTGCGCAAGTTCTGCTTGGAAGCTTACCTGAAATTTCTGTTTGTAAATGTGTTTGTGTATCACTACAGCGGAAGCTAAGGCTTAAAATTGAGTTTGACCAAAGGCTACGTCATCTCCTACATTCCACCTCGGCCAGATTCATACACGTAGCTTGTCGTGATCGCTGATCACTGCCACGTCAGCATTGCAAAGACAGCGTGATGCAAAGTCAGAGAGTTCCATCTCGTACAGAATCATGTGTGGCCGCTGATGTGATGTTCTTGACCTTTTAATATCGCTACTCTGCCTGTAGACTTTTTTGCCAGGATGGTTCCTGACCTCCATAGTGAATCTCGAAGTAGGCGGGATATTCGGCAGAATATATTTTGGACAAATATGCTGCATTGAGGGGTGGCAAAGCCGGATCTGGTGCAGCTTTAGCCGACCTGGTAATCTCATCAAATATCATGGAACGATTACTGTCGTTATCCCATCTTGGTAGTTTTGTCTCCATATGAGTTGCTGATCCCGTCTGGAACAACGTATCAATGTACCTAACAACCTCATTAAAAGACAGTTAAGGCAGAAATCACTCTTTTCGGCAATGTGTGTATTCACGTAGCAAAATACCAGTCTTAGATTTTGTTTAGAATCAGAGCGACCTGTTCAATCCGCTAGTCCGCTAAAAAACGGGGAAACCTATTCTTTTTGTGGCTGTCTAAAACTAGAGATAGCTATAAAGCGAAGAAATAGAAAAAGCGCATTGATCTCAAGCGATTAATTCCTCCGTTCAGATATTTATTCATTATCGAAGTTATTGCCCAAAGAGAGTGATATTATTTACATCTGTTTGTTCACACTCGGTCGATCTCGCAACGTCATCTATAGAAGGCTGTTTTATAAGCCTAGAAGGATGCTTCTTCTTTCGATAGGGGCTTCGGATCTTCTCCAATTCCTTTTCTGCTTTTGAATCGTAAGGGCTTGGCTACCTCAAGTATGATTTCTTTCTCGAATTGCGTAAACTGAGTTGTTCAGACATTGTTCACCAAATCCGGTAATGAAGTGAATATGGTGTATTCATAATAGTGTTGCGCCGTGAAGATTAAAATACCACCGGAGCATCTTATTCAACGGTTTAAAGGGTGGACTGTCACATTACAGCGCACTACCTGCCCATTTCTTTGCTAGTTTCGCTTCCTTATCGGTCACAGGATTTATCTTTTGGCTTCACATTGTGGGACTATCATACTCACTCTTGTCTCATTGTTCATTTGAACCGTTTCGCCGTTATATGAAAACCCCTAATCTTAGTCTGTGATGAGGTTCTCTTTGTAAAAGTTGTCATCAAGTCATCGTCTTTTCAAGCCTAACCTTTTTGAACGTATCGAGAAACTTGCTCACCATATAGTTCACTTGGTCCAGTTCTGGTACTACTTGCATTTACGAATCTCACCCCCCCCCCCCCCCCCCCCCTGTTTAAACGCCAGATAGATTCATCTTTCATCTAAATCTGTGATCTTTCAAAAATATATTCTCTTCTGTTAAGATTGTCTATTACGGTCTCTGAACTTCAAGATTCAGCCTATTCTTCCGGGCTTTCAGATTTCTGTAATTCAGTCTGTATCACACAAGTTTCTGGGTAAGTGGGTATAATAAGTAAGTACCTCGGTCAACTTCACTTACCCATATCTTGCTTAGTGTCATTCCCTCCTTGCTAGCGTATTTGCAGATCGCCTATTTTTATCGCTGATCATTCCTCTCATTTCTCACTATCCGTTCGCTCGCAATTTTTTTCGCTCAATAGGCGAACAGCTGCATGCATGAGAATTTATCATTGATTGGAGTTCATAGCTGTTGTGAGCGGCGATTCCTGCCATGGGAGTATATGAATTTCGTGGTAATTTGGAAGCTTTCAACAGATTTATTCAGCTTTATGGTTGGCATGGGATTGTGTCAGGGTCGTAGAAGAGTGTGCATAGGACGGATAAGGGATTACTCACGCTCGTTGCAAACTTTTGCAAACGGCCATCCCTAGCACACGTTTTATAGCGCTTAACTTTATATTAGGTTGTCGGGAAAGTATTTGCGCATTTTGGTTTCCATATTGTGAAATCTTTGGGGATTCCTCTAAACCTTCACTGCGAAATATGTGTAAGTGCAGGTCAATGCGCTCTCCACAGCACATCTGCCGTAGCATTTCGCAACGGTTATGGCTGCAAGAATCGCTCTCGACCCGAAGCGAGTCAAACTGCCTTCGCTTTATAAGTTCAGAAAAAAACGTTAATCCAAATTGAGCGACAGGGGGAATATGCGATGCGATAGGACCATTCATTGTCTCTAATAGCACATCAGGAATTTGGTACAAGAAGTTCAAAAATGGCCACTTTGGCTGGACCGAAGAACCACGATCTAGGAGACTAGCTGAGCTCAATGGTGGCTATCTCCTGAAGCTGGTTGGAGAAGATTCCAGGTTTAGTGCCAATCAGCTGAAACAGGAGCTCATAGCAATCACGACACAACAGCTCTCCATTTGCATTGCCTTGGAGAGCCATGGAGATTCGGAGATATGGATAAGTTTTGATCTGGGTGGTCACGACCTCCAAGTGAAGAGGGATTCATGCCTAAACTTGATGACTTTCCGACGCACCTTCGCATGGCTGGAAGACTTAATCACTGGCGACGAGAAGTGTGTTCCCAACTTAAACCACACGAGGAAGCGCCAGTGGCTTAGATGCTTAGAGCATGAATCCCGGCCTCCAATCCAGAATTCTTACCTCTGAAGGCAATGCCAAGCGTTTGAAGCCATTCAACTGGATCATTCACGGGGACTTTCTACCACCAAACTCCGCTGTCAGCACTGAAGCCCAGTGTGCTCTGTGGACCGGATTGCTGCACCTCTAGGAGAGAAACCCCGGAAAGTCTATTTTCTCCAAGACAGTGCTCGCCGACACTTTTCGAAGGAGACCCAGAAGAAGCTTCAAAGCCTGAGATGGCATGTTCTGGCCCACCCATCGTGTTCACCAGACCTAACTCCAATGGATTGTCATCTGCTCCTGTCGCTGTCGGACCATCCGAAAAATAGGAAGTTCGATTATGTGGATCAACTCGAGACGTACTTTGACGAGTTTTCCTCCTCAAAACTTCAGGAATTCCACGCAAGCAGGAACCACAAGTTGCCTGATGAATGGCAATACCTTGTCGATAACAATGGTGCATATATTTGTTATTTGTTCGTTACTATGAAGGAAAAAAATAAATTCTAAAAAAAAATTGCAAAAGGCGCAAATACTTTTCCGACAACCTAATAGTAAGGGTGCTAGTTGCCAATAATAGCCTTCGCACGGTACATTCTCTCACGATGCTAATGATCCTTTCAGGCAATCTTCTATTTATGTCAGAGACAGGTTTTCGAGTGTAGATTTTCCTACGTTTCGAATCCTTCGATTCATTCAGTTTGCCAGAACTCTGTCGCCTGCCACCGTTTTTTCGTTCCACAGATAGTGTTGACCACTTTTGTGTCACTTCGTTGCCACCGCTCCTTATCAAGTCCTATCATTGCCTAATGTTTTTCATTTATAAGTAGTGACATGGCGCTAATGACTTGTTGTGCATATTCCATCATTAAGACTCCAGTGCTGCTGAGCTCATTCTCTCAGTAGGCGATATTGACGTTTCGATAGGTTGGCGTTCTTGAGGGAACTTTCTGAAATGTTGCCAACCATGCTCTACTCAGAATTGTTCCGCTAGTTGGAACTCGGGTCAACTTGCTCCAACCAGACTCGAAAGTCATCGGTGTGTCTGGGTGATTACCTGTTCTACGTTTCACATGTGAGCTCCGAGAATGTGAGAAAATGCATACACAGCATATTAGGAGTGCACGGGCGAATACCCTCGCTTGCTCTCCTGCCTCGTAAATGGGCAAACTCGCGGGTGCTGGAAGATTTAACGAAATGTCCGTTACTCGGATTCGGCTCTAACTAGCTATAATTCGCTGGACTAGAAAATTGTCGAAAGTTCATACTTAAAAGGTTTCAACTATAATGTGAAGATTTTTTCGGCACGAAGCGTTGAATACTTATTAGGTGAATGCAGTTGCAGGCTTGAGGGACAGGTTGTGGATTATTTGGTGAACGTTTTCGAAGTATCCCGATTATTTGATTCGACTGCTTTCTATCACGAATAAAACCTTCATTTTCCATCTTTTTTTAAGAGTATGGCCGCGGCAACTTTTGAAAACGAAATGTCTCAAGATGATGCGATGCGGCCTCAGTATGCAAGCATGGCCGGCCGATTGCCAACTGGCTGGTTTAGACCTACAGATAAAACGGTTTGTTTTTTTTATTGAGCATTCTATTAGCTTTGAACAAACAAATAGCGCTTTTTTTGGCTGTGAACAGAACAAAAGTAATTTGGCGTTGTAAAGGGGAAGGAGGGAGAGGGGGGGGGGGGGGGGGTGTAGCTGGTTGTTCGGTCACAAGATTAACACTGGAAACCGATGGGTTGTTTTTTTTTCATCATCGTCCATCAAAGCAATATCCTTGAATTAATAGAGATACTCATCGAATATACATTGCTTCGGTATTCGACAAGCAGACGTGATGTCATAATGTGAGGTTCTCATCAGATTTTTTTAAACGTGTGCGCTTTTGCTTTTCGCAACTTCGCGTGAGACAACGCATACCCGAAATATCGTTATCTTCGTTACCTATAGACAGCTTCTAAGAATTATCATGCGCTAATAATAGCAGAGTAATATTAGCAACTTAGATTTGCACAACGAATTTCTCACCCTCTCCCAACCCCATTAGGACTCACCGACCTACACTTGATCCAGCTTTTAAAGCTCTGAGCTCGAACATCAGTATTCCATTTAAGGATAAGTCGATTAAGTGCTGCTGGCTCACAGTCGAGAGATTTGGTAGTCTTTTTCTCTCGAGACTGTTTCTTGTTTCTTCATGGGAACACTTTAAAAAGCATCTATAATCACTCTATCTGTGCTTTATGAACATTTCTTCACAAATAGGTGCCTATTTCCTTTTTTCATCTTAGAAAACTGGTTTCGTTATATGCATGCGTTGTCCTTCTGATAGGTGAAAAGGCAAGTTGCATAACAAAGCAGAGAAGAGTCGAACAAGATATTGTAAGAGTGTATAGCATCCCTTCAACATTACTGGTTGCTACCATTGCA